GCTTACTCAGCAGACATCTCCAATCCACTCGCCCCAGGAGACAACCCAGGAATTTGGGCCTCGAGGCCCCACCCCTGTCAGCCCCATCCCCAGGTCTGCCTTCTTCCGGGGTGTCTATCCCGGCCGCCCTGGGCCCCTGCGCCCTCCCTTCCTTCTCTCAGAGAGCCCATGGGGCTCAGCAGGCCGGCAGGCCAGTTCCATACCCACCCCCTCCAACCAGCCAGCGGCTGGGCCAATTCAACAACAGCAGTGGGGGGAGGGCTGGGGGAGGGGGTGCTCAAATCACACTTGTCATCCACAGGACAATCTTGGTTCGGCAGTGAGGGCCAGGGTTTGGGAGCCCCCTCAGTAGTGCCTGTCCAGACGTGACCTGGTGTGGGCCAAGGAGCACTGCCCCTCATTTGCTGTGTGACCTCGGACAAGTCACACAGCCTCTCTGGGCCTGCTTCCCCATGCTCAGGTGAGATCCTGCCCAGGGAGGAGACGGTCCCTGTTAGTTCCTGCCGCTCAGAGGCAGCGAGGGAATGCTGGGTAATCCTCTGTCCTCTCATTTAACCACCCGAAGCAGAGAGAGGGGGCAGCCCTTCCCCCCAGCCTCACAGCCCCTCAGCTGATGGGACAGGAAGCCGAAGCTGAGGGGAGCTGGGGGAGCGGGCCCAAAAGATGGGACAGGAAGCCGAAGCTGAGGGGAGCTGGGGGAGCGGGCCCAAAAGCTCTCGGGACTTTGTTTACTCACTCGGTCATTAGGTGTGCACTGAGCCTCTGGCTGCTCTGGCCTGTGCTAGGCATGTGTGTGTGTGTGTGTGTGTGTGTGTGTGTGTGTGTGTCTCTCTCAGACATGCCCAGGTTCCTGCCCTCAGCCCCGGTGCCCCCACTCAATCCCCTACCTCCAGCTCTCCCCTCAGGGTATAAAGATTTCCCAGACCTCTCGCCTTCCAGCCCCGCAGTCCTCCCCAGGGGGAGCACAAACACTCCCCGCGGTCCACGGCCAGTGCTGTGAGCTGGGACGAGGTTGTGAAGGAGAGTCACCCAGTTAGTGACCAGCAGGGCAAATGACAAAGAAGAAAGATGGAGAGGGGGTGTACTGGGGATCCAGGCCTCACAGAGCTGGAGGCTGGCCTTCCTGATTCCCTGGCAATAGCCTTCTCCACAGGCCCCCCCCACCATGGGGCCCCCTGCCCCGAGCCCCACCTGAGCCCTCTCAGCGTGTCCTCCGTGTCCTCCGACCCCTCTCCCCAGGGCGGCCCAGGAAACTGTCTCCCCGCACATTTTGGCTTCTCAGCCTCCTGGTCTCAGGCTGCCCGGCGGTTGGTAAACAGCTTATTAAGGTGATTAACGCTGCAATTAAAGCTGGAAAAACAGAGGCCAGGGTGCTGGCTGAAGACTCCCCCTTTCCCCCTGCTGGTCTCCCCCCTCCCTGACCTCCCCTCTTTCATCCCCTCAGGGCTTGGTTGACGCAATATGGCCTGGCGTGGCCAACCGGAGCCCTCCGGGGCACTGGGAGGCTGGGCATCAGGGTCCCTCTCAGCTGCCCAGGCCCTTCCCCGTGGAGGTGGGGGGAGGGGAGGGCTCTGCGGGACTGGGGAGTAAGGGCAGGGACGGGTGCTGCTGAGGCAGACGGTGGATGGAGGCTGAGTGCGGTGCCTGAGACGCCTTAAAGGGAGGAACCTTCGGGACAGAATCACCCTTCTCACCCAGGTCCCCAAGTGACAGGGGCTGGGCTGTCTCCTCCTAGAAGTGGGGCACACGGGTGCAGGTGCCAGGAAGCTTCTAGACCCCAGCCCTCCCCTGAGCCCAGCGTTCAGGGGAGGATTAGGGACCCTCTGGATGCACATCTCCCAGCCAGCATCAGCTCTCACAAACCTGAGGGCCCCCATGACTGCGCTCTCGGCTTCTCCCCCAAGCCTCCTTCCTCTCTAACCCCCCCTCCAAGTCCTGCAAGGGGAGTTATTCTGTATGCGGGGTCCCCAGGAAGTATGCTCCCAGACCCCCAGCTCTGCCTGTCCTAGCTGCCTCCTTTCAAAGCATCATTCAAATGCCACCTCTCCCTGAAGACTTCCTGCCAGCTGCCCCTCCGCACTGGAGCCAACCTGTCCTCCCTGACTGGGTTGGGTTTGCCCAACGTGAAGGGGGGGGGGGGCGCCTGTCCAGGGTGGGCCCTGCCTCGGACCCTGGAGCCCCCAGCACAGGCCTGTGCCTCCTCCCCCAGGCTGTGCTCCTCCATGGTGCCAGCTCCCTGAACTGCCTGCCTGGCATGGGGCAGGTGCTCAGTAACTACTCGTTGACTTACTCTGTTTTAGAGCATCCTTAGGGATGGGTGGATCAACCAAGGTGGCAGGTGCAGCGGGGGGCCTGGGTCTGAGTCCAGGGGCCTGGGAGCGGAGGAGGGGGCCGTAAGGGAGGCAGAGAGTAAGTACCATCGGCCCCGTCATCACCATCGTCCCTAGCAACTTTCATTAGCTGAGCAGTCATCAGCGCGCGCTGGGTAACTTGTTAAGCATTTTACTCACATTATCCCATTTAATCCTCTCACAACCCTGCTGGGTAAGAGCATCACCCCTCTGTGACAGATGAGGAAACCGGGAGGCTCAGGAAGAAGGTTAGTGACTTGCCCAAGATCACACACTGGGCGAAGCGGCGGATGCAGGATTCAGCCGTGTCAGCTGACGGCGGCGTGCACATTCCAGGCCTCAGCAGGAAGCTTTTTTTAGGACCAGCCCTGGGGGAGGAACCCCGCCCCCCCTTCTCCCTGGGCGGGGCGCCGGTGGCTGCGGTGGGCGGAGCTTCGGTGGCTCCAGCGCGGTGACACTCTGCCCTGGGGCATCTTAGGAAACCGAGTAGCAGAAAAGCCCATTAAGAGAATCCATTCTTCAGAGAGTCCTGGGTTGAAATCCCAGCACTGCCCACAAAGTAGTAGTTATGTGGCTGATGGGACCTCTCTGAGCCTCCGTGTCCCAAACGGGTCCTCTACCCCCCGTATTAGGTGCCCCCAGTTGCTGTGAGGACCACATGCAAAGTGCCTGTTACAGAGCAGGCGTTTAGCAAATGCCAGCTGTTCCTAAGGTTTGGAGAACGGAGACCCTCAGGGCAGAATGGGGTTCTCTAGCCCCCCTCTTTCCCAAAGGATTCCACAGGGTGATGGGTATTGTTAAAAATCACCTGGCCCCACCCAGGCCCCCCACCCAAGCCCCTGTCCTTGGGTCCCACCGGTGCGGGTGGAGAAGGTGACCTGAGCAGCCCGGAGGTGAGGCGGGGAGGAAGGGGAGGTCAGGGGTGGGGCTGACCCTGAGGGAGGTCACGGGGCAGTTAATCCAGCCTGACAGAGCCGGGATGAGCAGGGTGGAATTAGGAGCTTACAACATCCTTTCATCCCGCAGCAGCCCGCCCGCCAGCCCGCCCGCCCGCCCAGCCTCCCTCCTTCCTTCCTCTCTCTTTCTGCCCTTTTTTCCCCTCTCCCTCCCTTTGCTGGCAGCCCAGCCCTAATAAAATGCAGTGTCTCCAGCAAGTCTGCCCGGCTGCCGCCTCGCTGCTCCTGCCTGCACGCAGCCCTCAAACCAAACTGCTCAGCTCAGCCCCGCCTGGCAGCTGCCACTTAACCCTTGCCAACCCGGCTGGCGTCCTTGGGCTGAAGGCCCTCCTCCCTTCCGTCTCCCTCAGGCGTGGGGGGAGGGGAGGGCCTGCTCTGGGAGAGGAAGAAGGCTGATGTGGGGGCGGGGAGTCCCCGCTGTTCTGGAGCCCCTGACCGGAACCCCTCAGCGTGTGCCTGGCTGCTGGATAGCAAGGGCCTGGGGTGAGACCAGCTCCATTCGCCTGCCCAGACTGATTCTGCTTCCCACCTCACCACAGCCCCGGGGGTCAACAGGGTGAGGACTGTGGTTCCCACTTGACAGATGAGGAAACTGAGGGCCAGACAGGCTGAGCTGGGTCACCTTGGCTGCTGGGTGGTTCTCCATCCCAGATCTTTTCCAGGATAGGGAGCTGCTTCTGCCACCCTGTGTGTGTGTGTGTGTGTGTGTGTGGTGTGTGTGTGACTTGAGTGATGCGTGTTTGTGCATCTGGGGGGCCTCCATCTCTTGGTTTTGTACGTGTGTGACCCTAAGGGGTCTCAGGTGTGTGTGTCTACATAGGTGCCTACAGATGACGTTTGTCTCGAGTGGGAGTCCATGGGTGTGTGATGATGCAGAGGTGTCATTGTGCGTCTTGGTGCATGTGCGTGTGTGTGTGTGCGTGTGAGTGTGTGTGTGTGTATGTGTAGGAGAGCGTTAGCTTCACAACCATGTGCCTACATCCACATGCACGGTGCCTCTCATCCATGCCAAGATGTGTCCCTCACTCACAACGCCATCCATTCTGCCACCTCCGGCTCGGCCTCCGAAGTCTTGGAGTCGGGAAGCTAGGAGGGTGGTGGCGGCAAGCAGGCACTGAGTCAAGGCCCGGCCCGTGCTGTCCCCGAGAAGTAAACACAAAACCCCTTGCCTGTCTGTGTTCACCCTCCAGCCTGGATCCCAGTGGCCTGGGGTCCCTGCCAACTGTGAGAGCAGTGGTATTCCCCTTGCCTGAGGCCCCAACCTCACCCCACGCTGGGAAGGACAGACGGGAGGGTGAGGGGCCGGGGAGTGCCTGGGCGTGGAGGCAGGGGGTGTACACGCGTGTGTAAGCATGTCTGCGTGTGAGCCCAAGATCAAAGAACAGCCCTGAGGTGACCCAGCGGCGGCAGTGGCGGAGGGCATCTGGCTGGCGGGGAACGCCAAGCCGCCAAGCAGAGTGGAGTCGGGGAGGCCGCGGCACGGGGAGCCTCCCACCCACCCCCACCCACCCGGGCCTGGGGGCCGCCACGGGGTCAGGAGCACCTGCCGCCTGGGGCCCGGCCCGGCCCTCAGCCCTTCAGCCCAAAGCCCCAGCAGGCTCAGCGCCCTCTCCCCACCAAACACCGTCCCCAGCTCCCAGGCCCTCCCTGAGAGCCCCGTCTGCCTCCTACCCCCAGTTCAAAGAGCTCGGTGTTATTTCCTTCTTTTTTATTAACATTATATATAAAGATGGGTCCAGTAAGAAAGCAGAAATGAGAAGGCTGGGAGGGGGTGGGAGCTGGCTCCGTTCCTGTCCCCCTGGGGGGGGACTGTTGGAGATCCACCATTTCTCCTCATTTCTGCACCCGCACCAAACCCCAACCCAGCCAGCGCCCATCCCTGCTTCTCTCAGCTCACGCTGCCGCGAAGGCAGGTACATCCAGGAGGAAAGGGCCACATAAATAGGAAACCGCACAGGGAGGAGGCTGCTGCTTTCTGGTGCTCTTAGAAAAATACAGGCTCTATATATATAGCTCCCGGCTCCTACCTCTCCTTTCCCCGGGGTTTGACCACATCAGGGGTGGAGGAGAGCGAGCTCTGGGGGGACGTCTGATCGCCACCCCCTCACCCCTCAAGGCAGCGAGCTACAGCCCTCCCCTCTCTCCTCGGGCACCTCACCCCGTGCAATCTGCTTCCAAGGCCGCCAGAAAGGGGGTGTTTGGGGGTTTGTCTTGCCTGGAATGTCTCCTTGGAGACTTGGGGTTTGGCACCAGAACTGCCAGCTTACTGGAGGAGAAGGGGGGTGGGGCGGGAAGAAGAGGTGGGGAGAGGGGTGGGGGGGGGCAGAGCAGAGGTGTCTACCTAGGGGAGATTGATCCTATCTGTTAACAATGCCCTTTGTTTTCCTATTTTTCAACAGCTTTTAAAACCAAACTTGTGCAAAGTCCTGTACACAGAAGAAGACACGGGTCCTTCCGAAAGACTCCTAGGACCCACCCCTCCTCTCTGACCAGGAGAGGAGAGAGACCACGCCTGGAGTTCTTCCCTCAGATGCCGCAAATATTAAAATACCCCCTCCCCCACTCCCTTTGCTTTAACCCTCAAGTCGTAAACGAGGGCTGCAAGGGCGGGTCGGGGGCTGCTTGGGGTGCCCCCCTGAGTCCCAGGCTCCGTGTCCAATGTCTCTTTGGCAGCGGGGTCCTCGGGAAGAGGGAGCCACAGTTCACGTAGGAGGAACCAGACCCTGCCGGTCCTGGCATCCACAGTGCCCGGTGTCCCAGACCAGGCCCCACCGACCGACCGACCAACCGGCACACACTCCCTGGTCCCCCGGTGCCCCGGTCTCCAGTCTGGAAAGTAAGTCCTCGGTGTTCGAGGCTGGAAGGTGACAAGCCACGGAACACCCGCCCAGGCTCCTGGGACGGAAGGAGAACAGCTGTCCCAGCTGGAGCGGGGCACCCCCAACACCTGGCAGGGCACCCTAGTGTCTCGGCAGGGGGAGAGAGGTTGGGGGACGCCCTTGGCCCATGCAAATTTCATCCGGAGCTCTCGGGTCCGGAGGAAGGGACCAGGGCCCGGGGAGGGGCGTTCCCTTCCCCCGTGGCGCTCCTCCGATGATTCCTGAGTGTCGGCGAGGACAGAGACGCCTCCTGTCTGGTCCCGGGAGTCAGTCCTTCGTGGGAGGTTCAGGTGGGTGCTCAGTACACAGCCCCGGGGTTGGGCGGGGGCCCCGGGGAGGCGTGGTGCAGGGTGGCCGGCTGGGGCGGCTGCTGCTGTAAGTGGGGCCCGCTCAGGTTCTGTGCGTGGTACCAGGAGCTGGTGGGGTCGTCCAGGTAGCTGGGGGAGGCGCTGTACGGGAGCGGCGGGGGCAGCTGGCTGCGGGCGGGGGCCGGCGTGGAGTGCGAGGACGTGTCCCAGAGCGCGGGCGACGGCGGCGAGTTGCAGGCCATGGAGTCGCTGTTGTTGGGGCTGTGCTCCAGCGGCACCTCCCCGTTCTTGTACAGCTTCTTGAATTTGGAGCGGCGGTTCTGGAACCAGATCTTCACCTGCACCCAAGAAGGGTTGGGGGTTCGTTAGCCTCTGGGAATGCTGAGCAAACCCTCTCCCTCCCCCCGTGCGAAATCCAGCTCAGAGAGGGCAAGGCCAGTCCCCAGGCCACACGCCAGGACCCAGGAGAAACCCAGGCTTCCTGACTCCCAGGCCACCACCTCTCCTTCGACCCGGGATCGCGCTGTGGCAGGAACTGGCAAGCGCATGGGTCCAAATTCTACTCGGCCCCCCCGACTGCCTGTGTGACCTCCCTGGTTCTCGCCTTCCTCCTCTGAAAGTGGGGGTGGTCGGAGCAGGATCACCTCCCTCCTGGGGTCTCAGAGCAGCCTCGTATATACGGCAAACGCCCCATAATTGGCACCCAGGTGCCTCTGGCCAAGGGGCAGTTTGTGGCCTCAGGTTCACGTTAGAAACCCAGAGGCGCCCAGATACAGGGACAAACACACACCCACACAGGCATCTCCATGTGCAGGAACATACCCACTCACCACTTCACATGCAGACACCAGACTATAAAGACACACACACACACACACACACACACACGCACACGCACAGATACTACTCCCAGATAAACACCCACAGACGCGAGCGCCTTGCCCACACACCCGGGCGGGCACTGCGGGGACCTCCGGGGCTGCCTATGATGGGGGTGACCTGGGGACCGGGGAGCAGGTGAGCCACACTTCCCCACGTTTCCCCCGGGGGTATCTCCCCCTCCCCCCACAGCTCCCCACCCCATGACTGGTACAAACAATGAATCAGCTTCTCACTGGGTGACCCAGATTCCCAGCGGGCGGACGGGGCCCCACGCAGGCAGCCGCAGCCCAGGCCAGCCTGTCAACACCTGCAGGGAGCGGGGGAGCCACCACTCCTCCCTGAGAGGGGACAGGCCCGCTGGGGGCTTCGGCGACAGGCTGGGGGCAGCCCTCTCCCCGCCTAGGGAGGGAATCTCTCTGCTCTGCTCCAGGCAGGGGAAGGGTGGAGCACTGGGAGGATGAGCAGCAAAGTGGTGTTTTGAAGCAAGTATGCATTTTTGTACGTGCACTCACCGGTGTGCACAGTCACGTCTCACCCCCCCCCCCCACAGACGCCGTGACCCTGGTCAGGTCACCAGCCTTATGGGAGCCTTCCCACGTGTACACAGACACGAGAGCCTGCGTGCCAATATTGTCCATGCGTGTGCATGTGTATGTACAGCTCTGCACACATGCTGGGCTGCTGAGAAGACACATGTGGACTCCTATCAAGCGAGGGGCAGCCCTGTGGGGGCGGGGGGACTGTGGGAGCTTGGGGTTTGGGGGTAGAGAGGAAGGAGGACACCTCTCCTGGCCACAGACATGCACAGTCGCACAAGTTCTCAAGCACCCACTCCTGTACACGTGCTAATCGGAAACTTGGGGCAGAAGTGGAGATTTGGGGGGCCCCTCTACCCATAGGCAAGGGCTGCAAGGAGCTGCAGGGAATTTCAAAGGCTGTCCAGGCTCGGGAGTGCCTGGGGAGCCCGGGGGGTCGTCCCGCGAGGCCCCACTGATGCCCCGCAAGCCTCGATGTCCCCAGACTGACCTGCGTCTGCGTGAGGCCCAGCTGCGCAGCCAGCTCGGCGCGCTCGGGCAGCGCCAGATACTGGGCCTTCTGGAAGCGGCGCTGCAGGGCGGCCAGCTGGTAGCTGGAGTAGATGGTGCGCGGCTTGCGGACCTTCTTGGGCTTCCCGTTCACCATGCGCACCTCGGCCTCCGGCTCCTCCTTCACCGACACTGCGGGCAACGCACCGGGCGGGGGCAGCTGAGTCTCGGCCTGCGGCCCTGGCCGCCTCCCGGACCCGCGGGAAGCGGGAAGCCCCACCCGCGGGCCCACCAACTCCCCCGGGGTTTCCAGGCTGCGCGCTCCGGGGAGGGAGCGGCGGCCACAGAGCCGCCGGGCGGCGGCCCAGACGGCGCACCCCGCGCCCCGCGCAGCCCCGGCGCCCGCACTGCCCGGGCCGGGACCGCCGAGGCTTCGCTCCAGGCGCCTTCCCGGCTCGCCCCCCTCCTCTCCCTAGCTCGCTGTCTCACATCTCTCCTCTTCCCCGTCCCTTCTTCCCTATTCTTATTTAAAAAAACAAAACAAAACAAAACAAAAAAAACCCAAACACCTTTTATTTTAGGATAATTTTTTGATTCTCTGTAAAGTTACAAGCATAGTACAAACTCCTTCCTCCCTCCCTCCTTTTCCCGTCCTGTCCTCCCTTCCTTCCTTCTGTCCTTTCTCTCACTTTGTCTTCACCTTTCTCCTTCCCAGCTCCTCCACTTCTGGGTCGCTGCTTCCCTCTGTTTCCCTGTAATCCCGGGCGCCTGTCTCTGCCTGTGCCCCTCACCATTCAATCCCGGGGCGCCCGTCTCTGCCTGTGCCCCTCTCCATTCAATCCCGGGGCGCCTGTCTCTGCCTGTGCCCCTCACCATTCAATCCCGGGGCGCCTGTCTCTGCCGGTGCCCCTCTCCATTCAATCCCGGGGCGCCTGTCTCTGCCGGTGCCCCTCTCCATTCAATCCCGGGGCGCCTCTCTCTGCCGGTGCCCCTCTCCATTCAATCCTGGGGCGCCTCTCTCTGCCGGTGCCCCTCTCCATTCAATCCTGGGGCGCCTCTCTCTGCCGGTGCCCCTCTCCATTCCCGTCCCCCAGCCCAGACTCGGAGCGTCCCCAGAGCTTCCTGTCCCCGTGCCTACCCCCCAACCCTCTGCAGCCAGAGGGGGAACTGTCCAAGGAGTTCCCCGCGAAAGCACCTCCCTTCGGAGGCCCCCCGACCGCCCACAGCCCCGTCTCCTTCTCCCCGAACTCGCCCCGATCTTCCTCCGAGACCCGGGCGCCGGGCGAGCGGCGCGCCCTCCCGAGACGCGCGCGGTCCCGGGACTGGAGAGGCGCCCGCCTTCCCCGGCCGCAGGCGGGACCTGCCGGGGCGCGCACGGGTCTCCGGCTCCCGGCTCCAGCCCCCCGCCTGCCTCCCTCCCTTCTGTCCCCGGGGGAGCCTCCCCGGGCCTCCCTCTCCCGCGATCCGTCCCGGGTCCTCACCGGGGTCCTGCGCCGGCAGCGGCTGCTCCCGGTACCCTCCGTACTGCCGGTAGGAGGTCCCGTAGGTGTAGTCCGACTTGGGCGAGTAGGCGCCGGCGCCGGCCAGCCCGTTGAGGTTGAACTGCGGGTGGTAGGAGTAGGGGTTCACCGCCTGGCCGTACGGCTGGCCCGCGTAGTAGTCGTGCTGCGGCGCGCTGTAGTAGCCCAGGTCCGTGACGGAGGACTCGGGCAGCGTGGGCGAGTCCTTGGAGCCCGCGTGGCAGCTCAGCGAGCTGGAGATGTCGGTGAGGATGCTGCTGAGCTTGCGGTCGAACGAGCCGCTCATGGTGGCGGCGGGGGCCGCGCCGCTCCGCTCCGGGCCGCGGCGGGGAGGGGTGTGCGCCGGCGGGAGGGGGGTCCCGGGGAGGGAGGCCGAGGGGCGCTGCTGGGACCGCGCCGGCCTCCGGACGGTCGCTCTCGCTCGCTGCGCGCCTCTCGCCGCGTCCCCGGCCACAGTGCTCCCCGCCCGCGCCGCCCGGCGCCACTTATAGCCTCGGAGGAGCCGCCCGGGGAGGCCCCGGCGCGCTGATTGGCTGCGGGACTTGCCTTCGAGGCAAAACACGCTCCGGTGCTCTGTGGTTCGCTGCTCTGCTCGCCACTCTGCTCTTTGTTGTTACCAACACCACACACACACACCACATACATACACACACACACACACCACACATACATACACTCACACACCACACACACACACACATACACACCACACACACATACACGCCACACACACACACTCACACACACCACACATACATACACTCACACACCACACACACACACACACACACACCACACACACATACACGCCACACACACACACTCACACACACCACATACACACACACCACACACACTCACACACACACACCACACATACATACTCACACACACCACACACACACACACACCACACATACACACACACTCACACACCACAGTCACATACACACACACTCACCCCCCCACACACCCCACACACATACGCACACACTCACACACACCACACACACACACCCCACACCCCACACACACTCACACACCACACACACACATACACATACACACACACTCACACACACATCACACACACACACCACACACACACATACACCATACACATACACACACACACCACACACACACACTCACACACATATCACACACACACCACACCACACACACACACACACACACACCACACACACACACACACCCCGCTCCTCCTCCTGTGCTTTCTCCCCCATCCCTGATAAACCCAGTGTCCCTGAAGGCAGGAGTGGGTAGGGTGTCTGTGAAGAGACCCCAGAATCTGTCAGTGTGTCTGTCCCCTTCCCTGGTTGTGGGGTGGGAGGGGGGTCAGGTGCGATGAGGAAGGAGGGGGATTTGCCCACCAGGTGCTTGTGGAAGGAGGTGGTCTAAAGGTGTGTGTGTGTGTGTGTGTGTATGTGTGTGTAAATGACAGGCAGACAAACCTGCCCAAATGGGAAAGGTCCAGGGCCCGTGAAAATGGTTTAATTTCTTTTAAAATCAAAAGGAAGGAAAAAGAAAACTTAGGTTGAAGAAAATGTTTGAGTATATGGTATTCCTATATATTGCCTTTACAGCAGTGCAGTCATAAAGTGTAATTTTAAAACTTTTTTTTTTTAATGGAGGAAGGAGTCCATCAATCACACCCCAGCCCTGGGAGGGGGAGGGAGAGGGCGGAGGGAGGCAGGTGTGTGTGGAAGCAGGGACTCACGAGGCTGGTGGTGGGCACAGCCATCTGTGGTGACACCAGAGCCTCCTCTGGACTCTGTGTGTGCAGTTTTAGAGATCACCCAGGAGCGGGGACCTGGGGCCCCATGAAGCTGGGTGACACACAGGCTGGCTCCCTGTGTTGCCATAAGTTTGGGGGCAGAGTCTGTGAATTTGGGACAGCACTGCGGACACGCGTGGGCATAATTAGAGATCAGGTGTATGGGAAAGATGTACTTAGGGTGTGCAATGTGAGGATTTCCTGTATTCTTCAGTATGCTGAGGTGTATGTGAGTGCCAGAATATGTGTGTGAGAGAAAGTGTGTGTGTGTGTGTGTGTGTGTGTGTGTGTGTGTGTGTGTGAGCAGTGGCCCTGGGATGGCGTGTCTGTATGTGAATGTGTGGTTGTGTGCAGAGGTGTATAAAACTCTCAGTCCCTCCCCAATACCCGGGACCTGGGAACCATGATGCTTTTTGAACCTCATTCCCAATCCCAAAAGGTCCTAAGGAAGAGGCTCCCCCACCTGCGGACCTCCCCAGATCCTAGTCTTGTTTGGCACCCAGGGCCAGCCCTTTAGGTTACCCAACTGGTTCCCAATTCCCAGCACATGCCTCCATTCTGCCCCCAATTCTGCTCCTGCCTTTCTTTGGGATGAGAAGGAGTTCCCACAAATCTCAGCTCCTAGCAGACTTATTTGAATCTTCGCAACCATCCCGGGACAGGCAGTGCCAGCGCGCCACCTTGTGGTCACGCCTGGGCTCTGCAGTCTTCCCAGGCCCGGGCAGGGGGTCTCCCCTGTGGACTGTCTGGCAGAGAACGTTGCAGCGGGATCTGTGCGCATTTCTACACTCAGACTGCCCGGGCAGGCTGCCAGGGGTTCCGAGGGCTTTGAGAACTGCCGCTGGCAGAGACTGAGGGTCAGAGTCCGCGTGCCGAGGGGCAGGGGTGCCCGCCAGGTCTGAGCGGCTCCGGGGAAGCCTGGGCCTGGGAAAGGTGGGGGCGGGGGCCCGGAGAGGGGAGCGCTATCTGTCTGTCTATCTCCGCGTCCCCCCAGCGCCTATCGCCCGCCGCCCCGAGCCCGTGGCGGGGCGAGTTGCCACCCGCTCTGGATGCCCTCTGTTCTGTTGCCAAGAGGGTGCCAGGAGAGCCCACGGCGTCGGGGGCAGGAAGGGCACTGGGCAGGCCGGTTCCCCTCCCAGGATGGGAGGAGGGGGGAGAGGAGGAGAGGCAGGCAGAGCCTGCTTTGGACCCACAGCTCCCTACAGAGAAGGGACAGTGTCAGACAAGCCCCTTCTCTGGCATTCATTCATTCGTCCATCAATTCATTCATTCATTCATTCATTCATTCATCAACCTACACGAAGAGGGCCAGGTGATTCAGAGGTGGCAGGGAGTCTGCATTCCTCCTGAGATCCTCATAGAGGCTCACTCCCACTCCTACTTGTGGCTCCTGAGTGAAATGAATGAATGAGCACTGGACTGGGAGTCCAGGAATCATGTAACCGTCGTGATGTCGGTGGCAGGGAGCTAAATTAGCTAAAATGGAGCTAATTTCTATGCTCCATTTTGCTCTGAAAAGCTGGACTAAAAGGTCAGCATTGGGAACCTTAGTGAGTGGTTGGGTAATGTGAGATTAGCATCTGGTCCCCCATTGCACTGTGTGCTCTGAGACAACAGGGGCTGTATCTGTCCATTCTTAAAAAAAAAAATATATATATATATATATATATATATATATATATATATATATATATATATATGTAAATATTTTTTTTCCTTTATTGATTTCAGAGAGGAAGAGAGAGGGAGAGACAGAAACATCAATGATGAGAGAGAACCATCGATCAGCTGCTTTGTGCACGCCCCCTACTAGGGGTTGAGCCTACAACCTGGGCATGTGCCCTTGGCCGGAATCGAACCTGGGACCCTACAGTCCGCAGGCTGGCACTCTATCCACTGAGCCAAACCAGCCAGGGCTGTATCTATCCATTCACTGCTACCTCCCAGATACCCAAGGCAGGTCTTGGCACCCACAACCTCGGTGCAAATAGGTGTGTGTTGAATGAATAAGAGAGGCTCCCCCATACTGGAGAGCAGCTGACTCATCCCGGCTGGTTAGGCTGCAGGGTTAGGAAAGGGGGAGGCACAGAGCAGTGCAGCCACCGAACTGCCCCACTCCAGGGTGGGAGCAGGAGCAGATTCCCAGATGAAGCCACGGTGGCTGAAAGGGGCCTGTCAGGCCAGCAATACTGGAGCCACCAGCCGCTGGGCGGGCACCTGCTGGTTCAGGGTGGTGAGGTTCCTGAAGGATGTAGTGGGACCAGTGCCACCCACTGCATCTTGTCTGGACCAACAAGAAGAGCAGGTGTCAGCCTGATCAGAATGCTGCCCCTGGTGGCGGGGCGATGCAGGGCATCTGTCAGCTGCCTCTGGGGGGCCGGCAGGAGGGAGAAAGGTCAGGGCTGGTCCATTACCCACCTTCTACCTGGCATGAGGAAAGGTACCCTGTTGAAGTTTCCTAGAGGCCAAGTGTCATGGCACCTGGGCACGGCCACAACAACTGGGCTCACAGAGTGCCAGGGAGGAACTCAGAAAGGAGGAACCTAGAGGGTGGACGGACCAGCCCTTGCTCCCTCCATTTCCTGGGGATCTGGCGCCATCTAGTGGTCAGTGTGAGAAGGCGTCAGGCCAGCTCCACTTCATACCCAGAAGGATTGACTATTACTTATTTTAGGAGCTGTATCAGCACTAAATATTCACTTTTCATCACTGCCTTGGCTTACTCTACAGCTACCACCTCTCCTTTCTCCCGCCCATCCTTGTCTAGCCAGAGGCTCCTTCCCTTAGGTTTCTCATTTGTAAGTCAACGTGTCCTTTGAGGTCCCTTCAAGCTCTGCTGGACATCCTTCTGGGTCCCTCATCCATTCGACACATACGTACTTTCTGAGCCTCTACTGTGCTGGGTGCTGCGAGTGATGAGCAAGGCAGACACAATGTGCCCCACCATGGAGCTCAAGGTCAAAGGGCTCAGATGGGGGTGGCACGCACTGCTGTGACAGCCAAAGGTGGCCTCCAACCCTTCACGGAGGCAGGAGGCTGTCTGAGCTGAGACCTGACGGCCGTATGGGACTTGGCAGCAGCGTGGACCTATGAACCGGGAGGTCATGGTTTGATTCCTGGCCAGGACATATGCCCAGGTTGCAGGCTTGATCCCTGGTGTGGGACGCGCAGTAGGCAGCAATTTTCTCTCATCATTGGTGTTTCTATCTCTTTCCCCCTCTCCCTTCCTCTCTGAAATCAATAACATAAAATAAATATATTTTTAAAAAAGCAAGGAGGAGAGGGAGGAGAGGGTTTCCAGCCACAGGTGCAGAGGTTTCTGGGACTGCCTGGGGCATAGCTTGGGGGAGGTGGCCAGGGGTAAAGCTGGAGTGGCCCGGAACCCACAAGCAGCAGAATGGGCTTTATCATCTAGAACAAGCATGTCAAACTCAAAGGCTAACACGGGCCAAATAAACGAAGCATGTGGCCCTCGGGCCACGAGTTTGACATGCTTGGTCTAGAGGGCGTGGGAAGGCGCTGAACATTTTCAACCAGGGGAGAGACATGACTGGATTTTCATTCTAGAAGGGTCCGTCTAGCTGCTGTGTGGGGATGGACCAGAGGGGACAAGACTGGAGGCTGAGA